AAGAGCTCTCAAAGGATGTCAGGGACAAGATTGTAGACATACACAAGGTTGGAATGGGCTACAAGACCATCGCCAAGCAGCTTGGTGAGAAGGTGACAACAGTTGGTGCGATTATTCGCAAATGGAAGAAACACAAAAGAATGGTCAATCTCCCTCGGCCTGGGGCTCCATGCAAGATTTCACCTCTGGAGTTGCAATGATCATGAGAACGGTGAGGAATCAGCCCAGAACTACACGGGAGGATCTTGTCAATGATCTCAAGGCAGCTGGGACCATAGTCACCAAGAAAACAATTGGCAACACACTACGCTGTGAAGGACTGAAATCCTGCAGCGCCCGCAAGGTCCCCCTGCTCAAGAAAGCACATATACATGCCCGTCTGAAGTTTGCCAATGAACATCTGAATGATTCAGAAGAGAACTGGGTGAAAGTGTTGTGGTCAGATGAAACCAAAATGGAGCTCTTTGGCACCAACTCAACTCGGCGTGTTTGAAGGAGGATGAATGCTGCCTATGACCCCAAGAACACCATCCCCACCGTCAAACATGGAGGTGGAAACATTATGCTTTGGGGGTGTTTTTCTGCTAAGGCGACAGGACAACTTCACCGCATCAAAGGGACAATGGACGGGGCCATGTACCGTCAAATCTTGGGTGAGAAGCTCCTTCCCTCAGCCAGGGTATTGAAAATGGATCGTGGATGGGTATTCCAGCATGACAATGACTCAAAACACACGGCCAAGGCAACAAAGGAGTGGCTCAAGAAGAAGCACATTAAGGTCCTGGAGTGGCCTAGCCAGTCTCCAGACCTTAATCCCATAGACAATCTGTGGAGGGAGCTGAAGGTTCGAGTTGCCAAACGTCAGCATCGAAACCTTAATGACTTGGAGAAGATCTGCAAAGAGGAGGGGGACAAAATCCCTCCTGAGATGTGTGCAAACCTGGTGGCCAACTACAAGAAACGTCTGACCTCTGTGATTGCCAACAAGGGTTTTGCCACCGAGTACTAAGTCGTGTTTTGCAGAGGGGTCAAATACTTATTTCCCTCGTTAAAATGCAAATCAATTTATAATATTTTTGACATGCGTTTTTCTGGATTTTTTGTTGTTGTTATTCTGTCTCTCACTGTTCAAATAAACCTACCATTAAAATTATAGACTGATCATTTCTTTGTCAGTGGGCAAACGTACAAAATCAGCAGGGGATCAAATACTTTTTTCCCTCACTGTAAATGCATCTCTCTTTGGTGCCGTAACGTTAATGTTATATTGTACATTTTGAAAGTGTGATGATATAAAATGAGAAAAAGTAGCACCTCACATGTTTTTTGTGACCATGGACACTGTATAGTATTTATCTGCTCCAAATATAAACCACATACTGCATATCACACATTACTTTTTATTGAGCTTTACTAGCTTGGTACTCATCACATCATACTGTACTTCTGGTTGGCACGCGGGATAAAGAGTGTTTCTAAATGAGAGACAAAATGAGTCCTGCACAGTGTTTAAATGGATCCCCTGGACATGAGCCAACAAGGCTTATGCCACACATGTTGCCACTAAACAATATCATTACTTTAGGCTTAGTACATATCAGCAGCCCGGTCATTTTCCCTTACATATGCTTAAAGGAAGACTAGAGGAAGCGAATAAACACACAAGCAGACAAATGCACCACAAACACATTTATTCTTACAAGCACAAGCCCAAGATCTACTGTATCATGTACTGTATGGGCAATTATTTATTTCTCCCTCTGTTGTTCATTCTCAGTTTGGGCAAGTGTGTAACTTTGTTTGTGTGTGTGTGTGTGCATGTGTGCATGTGTCCCTGCATGTGTGTGTGCCTGTGCTCATGCATATTCAGGCAAGTGTGTGTGTCTCTCAACATGTGCTTGTGCATGCCTCCCTTGCTAGGACTGAGGAATCCTCTACTGTGGCGTCTGTCTATTGTCTCTTGTAATCTTTTCTTCTACAAAGGGGATGTCTAACCCCCAATGTGTATGTCCCCATCCCTCCAAGCCTCGCTCTGCATGTTACTGTATGGGTAGACTGGGCCCCAGATGATTATCCCCTGAATCCATTACCATGCCTGATCTTCTTATCATACAACAAACCTGAGTTGGGGTCTGCCAAACTGTGTGCAGAGCTGCTGCTGCTGCTTCCCCCTGCCCTCTCCCCCTCTCACCACTGCTGCTCAACGCGGTGGCGAGGAGAGAGGACAGAGATAAAGAGAGAGGGATAGAGAGAGACAGAGAGAAAGAGAGAGGGAGAGAGGGGAAGAGATTCAAATAGGGGCCTGTTTGCACACATCACTGTAGAGACGGGCAGCGATCCATTCTAAGACTGTCTGTAGGCGGGTCAGCATTCTGAGAACACGGTCAAGAACTCATAAAAACTCCATCTCCAACCTCCTACTCCCACCTTTTCCCTTTTCACACCCCTCTACTCATACCCCACTGCGTCCCAGACATGGGTCGAAGAACATGTTGTTTAGAAAACTACACTGTGGGGGAATCCAGTGTGAATGGTTCAAAGATGTCCCCCGTGGACGCTGGCTTTGTGCAGTCACCTCCCAGCGAGGGGAATAAATCACACTGTTCCATTGTTGTGATGGCACCATATCAAACACAGGAGGTAAAAAACAATAGAGGAGCGAAAGGATTGAAAGGCATCCCTGGCCCATCCATCTGCAGTATTTACAATGTGAACAAATAAATGTCCTCATTTATATCATAATCATAATCTGGGCTTGTCTTCTTTTCTAATTCCATTAGAAAAGGTCAGTTTCGATGATCTATAGTTATGATCCGCTCGTAAGTAGATCATATGTATACACACACACACGTACATACGTACAAGGACACAAGTACACTCGCATTCTCGCACGCACAGACACACACGGCACAGAATCAAAATATGTACTCTCATCAGCCACATTTTCTTGCATATTTTTAAGGATCAAAGGATCAAAGGAGTACGCGTACATTTGTATATGTGGGAGGATGGACAACAAAAAAAAGTTAACCAGAGAAACAATTGAAGAATGTGTGATTCCCCAATCATAATCAGTCACTTTTTCATACATCACCTGAAAGGCACAGAAACAGAACAGAATAACCAATTAATGATACCATGTTGCCATGTCTGCACAGGTTAAGCTACTTTTATCCTTTTGAACTTGATTCAAAAATCTGTATTTTCCACACTACGAAGTTTTGAACAAAACTTTTTGGATATATTGTCCTTCAAACTATTTGTCTCAAAAGGTGCATTTTCACATTTGTACATTAAACAACCACTATTGTGCTCCAAGGGAAATGCCTCTGAAATACTACAACAAGAGAGCTTCTACGAATATGCACAGTGCTCACATAAGAGCTTTGCCTGAAAATGGAGCAACTGCACATTTTAGTTCTTGAAAGCACTTGGTTGGGTGGCGTTGACGAATCTTGTTATATTTAACTCTGACACAAAGGTAGAAGATTAATGTAATTATTCTCTCTTTCGCTCATTCATGCATCATACATCTTTTTTAATCAAGGCAAGGAAACCATCTTTCCAGGAAAAACCAAAATAATCTATCTGAGCCATTAGTATCCAACAGCCGAGACAATTTTGAAAAGTAATGATGCGTACCAAATGACACCCCTATTCCCCATAGGGCTCTGCTCAAAAGTAGTGCACTGTGTAGGGAATAGAGTGCCATTTGGAACGCAGACAATGTCTACTTCTGACATTCATCTTTCCCCCTTTGCATTTTGAAGATATCCTCAAACATGTTGCCGTTGTATTATGCAAAGTTATCTTTGCTCTGGCAGTTTTATTCTGTTTCCCGTGTTATACTTCACACCGCGCTGCCAACACAAATCATTTAAAATCACTACTGGGGTTTTAACTGCCTCAAACACCACCACCTACAATTTGCCTGAGGGGAACTCAAGAGTACCGTGCGAAGGGAATGCATGTGAGTCAGTGTGAGTGGGAAGTGGGAACATGTGCGGAACTGGATGTCTCTAAGCAAGTTCTTGTTTGTTTTGACAGGGGCTAATATAAGCCTAGTCAATGTGTACAAAAGTAAAATCAGGTTCAGTATCCAAAATGTATTTGCCTATTCTGGCAGGTCAACATGCCCTGAGCATCTTTATCCATTTTGCTAAGTGACCATATGGCATTTTAAATTAATCTTTCCATGGCATGTTGAGAATATATATAGCAGAGGCACTTAAGATTTAATCTCATAGCAACTGTCCTTACAGTAATGGACAACACAAAAGCAATAAACTACCAGCAAATTCTATAAACACTAATATGTGAGTCTGTGTCCCAAATGGCACAATATCCCCTATAAAGTACTATTTTTAATTAGGGCCCATAGGGCTCTGGTTAAAAGTAGTGCACTATGTAAGGATTAGGGTTCCATTTCAGACAGAAGAGGCTACACATTAGTCTGTAAAAAAAAATAACGACTGAAACAAGCTAGTCATATAGGTTCCATTTAACATTACAGACTAATGGGCATATCTGTTTTAGAGCTAATTCACAGCAGCAACAAAACTACTGAACAATAATATTACTATATGAACTCGTTAGCCAAACACCTGGTACCATTTCTCCAAACCTTGAAATGACTAGTCACTAGTATTGCTGACCTCATGATAACATATATGATCCTTAATCCATTATAATGTCCTTATCAATGTCCTAATGTGGGTAGACTTGATAGCCAATCCCTTAAAGAACTGATACTAAAAAGCTCATGCAACTGAAGCAGTAGAGGCTGGTGAAGGGAGGACAGCTCATAATAATAGCTGGAATGGAATGAATGGAACGGTATCAACGTGGAAATTATGTGTATGACATCGTTCCAACCATTACTATGAGCGCGTCCTCCAATTTAAAGTGCCACCAGACACCACGTGACTGACGAAGGCACTTACCCTTTTGAGAATGATGATTCCTTCCTGATTGTATTCATTGGTGATGATGTCAAACATGTTGCCACCGTCCCCCGGTACGATTTTGTACTCTACTTCTGCGTTCTTCCCGATGTCCAAGTCATGAGCTTTGATCCTTCCCACAGCAGAACCCACTGCAGAGGACTCAGGGACTCTCAGGTGAAAGAAACCTTACAGACAAAAATAAATAGATTGATCTAGACAAGCTCATTTTCAACTTCTGGCATTGTATTGGGCTTTTTTTCAGTGTGTCCCGAAATGGTTTGGAAGCGAGCATCAGGACGGACAGGAGACATCACCCCTGGTCTGAACCTCTGTGCTGTAACAGCATTATGAGGGGGGGGGGGGGGGGGGAATCCCAGAGTGGGGTGACTGCCTGCCTACAGTACCCAAAAGGCAAAAACTGGTTGAATCAACGTTGTATCCACGTCATTTCAACCAAAAATGTCAATGTGATGATGTTGAATCAACATGGAAAACTGATTAGATTTGTAAAAAGTAATCAACGTAAAGGAATTTAGTCCTTTTTTCATCCAACCTTTTAAGTTTCAAGTTTTGTGCACAAGTACAGTGAAATGCCTTTCTTGCTAGCTCCAAACACAACAATGCAGTAATCAATATCAATGTAGCACTAAAATAAACATAATATAGAACAAACACACACAAGAAATAAAATAAATAAATAAGAAGAACACGAGAAAGTAAGAAGCTGTATAAAGGGAAGGTTCCAATACCATATTTACAATGTGCAGGGATACTGGAGTGATAGAGGTAGATACAGAGCATTCGGAAAGTATTCAGAGCCCTTGACTTTTTCCAAATTTTGTTAAGTTACAGCCTTATTCAAAAATTGATGAAAAAAAATAAAATCCTTTATCAATCTACACACAATACCCCATAATGACAAAGAAAAAACAGGTTTTTATAAAATGTATCAACTTTATTAAAAATAAAACACGGAAATATGACATTTACATAAGTATTCAGACCCTTTCCTCAGTACTTAGTTGAAGAAACTTTGGCAGCGATTACAGCCTCGAGTCTTCTTGGGTATGACGCTACAAGCTTGGCACACCTGTATTTGGGGAGTTTCTCCCATTCTTCTCTGAAGATCCTCTCAAGCTCTTTCAGGTTGGATGGGGAGCGTCGCTGCACAGCTAATTTCAGGTCTCTCCAGAGATGTTTGATCGGGTTCAAGTCCGGGCTCTGGCTGGGCCACTCAAGGACATTCAGAGACTTGTCCCAAAGCCACTCCTGTGTTGTCTTGGTTGTGTGCTTAGGGTCATTGTCCTGTTGGAAGGTGAACCTTCACCCCAGTCTGAGATCCTGAGCGCTCTGGAGCAGGTTTTCATCAAGGATCTCTCTGTACTTTGCTCCGTTCATCTTTCCCTCGATCCTGCCTAGTCTCCCAGTCCCTGCCGCTAAAAAACATCCCCACAGCATGATGCTGCCACCACCATGCTTCACCGTAGGGATGGTGCCAAGTTTTCTCCAGACGTGACGCTTGGCATTCAGGCCAAAGAGTTCAATCTTGTTTTCATCAGACCAGAGAATTTAGTTTCTCATGGTCTGAGTGCCTTTAGGTGCCTTTTGGCAAACTCCAAGCAGGCTGTCATGTGCCTTTTAAACTCCAAGCGGGCTTCTGTCTGGCCACTCTACCATAAACGCCTGAATGGTGGAGTGCTGCAGAGATAGTTGTCCTTCTGGAAGGTTCTCCCATCTCCACAGAGGAACTCTGGAGCTCTTTCAGAGTGACCATCAGGTTCTTGGTCACCTCCCTGACCAAGGCCATTCAACCTCGATTGCTCAGTTTGGCCGGGCGACCAGCTCTAGGAAGAGTCTTGGTGGTCCCAAACATCTTCCATTTAAGAATGATGGAGGCCACTGTGTTCTTGGCGACCTTCAATGCTGCACAAATGTTTTGGTACCCTTCCCCAGATCTGTGCCTCGACACAATCCTGCCTCGGAGCTCTACAGATAATTCCTTTGACCTCATGGCTTGGTTTCTGCTCTGATATGCACTGTCAACTGCGGGACCTTATATAGACAGATGTGAGCCTTTCCAAATCATGTCCAACCAATTTAATTTACCACAGGTAGACTCCAATCAAGTTGTAGAAACATTTCAAGGATGATAAATGGAAACAGGATACACCTGAGCTCAATTTCGAGACTCATAGCAAAGGGTCTGAATACCTATATAAAACCTGTTTTCGCTTTGTCATTATGGGGTATTGTGTGTATATTGATGAGGATTTGTTTTAAGCCCTTTTAGAATAAGTCTGTAACATAACAAAATGTGGAAAATGTCAAGGGGTCTGAAGACTTTCCGAATGCACTGCATGTATAGGGGTAAGGTGACTAGGCATCAGGATATATGATAAACAGAGTGGCAGCAGCGTAAATGATGATTGTTTGTGAGTGTGTGTGTGTAGAGTTAGTATAGTGTGTACATATTATGTGTGTGTTGGACTGTCAGTGTGTGTGACTGTGTAGAGCCCTGTCAGTGTGCATTGAGACAGTGCAAAAATAAAATACAAGGGCCAACTCAGATAGTCGTTGTAGCCATTCTGTTAGCTATTTAGCAATCTTATGGATTGTGGATAGAAGCTGTTCAGGAGCCTGTTGGTGTCAGACTTGATGCACCGGTATCGCTTGCCGTGCGGAAGCAGAGAGAACTGTCTATGGCTTGGGTGGCTGGAGTCTTTAACGATTTTCCTGGCCTTCCTTTCACACCACCTGATAGAGAGGTGTAGGGAGCTTGGCCCCAGTGACTTACTGGGCTGTCCGCACCACCCTCTGTAGCGCCATGCAATCGAGGGCAGTGCTGTTGCAATACCAAGCAGGTATGCAGCCAGTCAAGATGCTCTCAGTGGTGCCGCTGTACAACTTTTTGAGGATTTGAGGGACCATGCCAAAACTTTTCAACTTCCTGAGGGGGAAGATGCGCTGTCATGGACCACTTTAAGTCCTTAGTTTTTTGGACACCAAGGAACTTGAATATCTCGACCCGCTCCACTGCAGCCTCGCCGATGTAGTCCACTATCAGCTCCTTGGTCTTACTGACGTTGAGGGAGAGGTTGTTGTCCTGGCACCACACTGCCAAGTCACTGACCTCCTCCCTGTAGGCTGTCTCATCGTCACCGATGATCAGGCCTACCACCGTCGTGTTGGAGACATGCGTGACCACAAAGTCGTGGAGAGGACTAAGCACACACCCCTGTGGGGCCCCCATGTTGAGGGTCAGCGTGGCGGAGGGGATGTTGCCTACCCTTACCACCTGGGGTCGGCCCGTCAGGAAGTCCAAGATCCAGGAAGGTGTTCAGTTCCAGAGTCCTAAGCTTGGTGACGAGCTTGGAGGGGACAAGAGGTATTCCTCTTTTGTAGTTGGGTGATGGCAGTGTGGAATGCAATTGAGATTACGTCGTCTATGAATCTGTTGGGGCAACCTAAATCCAATGACGAGGAAATGTTTGGTTGATTTCACATTGAATTCACTTTAGTAGACAACTCATCCTAATGTAAAACAAAACTAGACGTTGAACTGAAGTCTATGACCAGTGGGTAGGCTGTCGTCAAATGTATATCAAAATATTTAGAGACCAGAGCAGTATACTCAGTCACAATTGCATGCTTGCATTATTCCCTTAACTTTTCATATTCAGTCAAATGGTTTTGAAAAGTTATCTTAAATATTATATTTGTCTGTATATAGGCTGTGTTTATAAATATGCATATTCACATTTGTTGAATTGATCCATGTTGTTCAAATATGCTGGATTTAGATTTTCATCGATCAATAAATTAATGAATAACACAATCTTACACAATAACACAATCTGCATGTTTGGCCTGCTTCTAGTGTCTTACTTGTGCACTGATTAACTATTTAATTTAATTGATTTGTTTGGAAGCTTAAAGTAAATAATTAATTCCAGATATTTTATTACAGGCATCAACTCCCATGCTGACTCTGTCTTGAGTTGAACACTGCAACTGAAAAAAGAGAAACTCCCTTTAAATAATGAAGAACTCTTTAATGGAAGGTAAATATGTAAGTATGTTTACTTGGATGTGGCAAAGTACTAAGCTATAAAATAAATAATATATAGTAAAGAAATATAAAGAACATAGACATCTGTCCTCTGTGCATCAGCATTATAATCAATTATTCACTCAAAAAATGAAATGGCTATATTAAAACCGATAATATCAACATGCTTTTTAACACAAGTCTACATGGAAAGGTAACGTCAACTTCATACACACAACAGCACCAACACAATAACAAAGAGCTCGATCTCTCTCCTCTCTCTCTCTCTCTCTCTCTCCTCTCTCTCTCTCTCTCTCCTCTCTCTCTCTCTCTCTCTCTCTCTCTCTCTCTCTCTCTCTCTCTCTCTCTCTCTCTCTCTCTCTCTCTCTCTCTCTCTCTCTCTCTCTCTCCTCTCTCTCTCTCTCTCTCTCTCAATGTTTCAATTCAATTTCAATTTAAGGTCCTTACATTGCCAAAGCAAGTGAAATAGATACTTATTTATTGTTTATTTAACTTTTGTTTATTAACAGTAAACATTACACTCACAAAAGTTCGAAAATAATAAAGACATTTCAAATGTCATATTAGGTGCAAATAGTTAAAGTACAAAAGGGAAAATAAATAAACATGAATATGGGTTTTATAATGGTGTTTGTTCTTCACTGGTTGCCCTTTTCTTGAGGCAACAGGTCACACATTTTGCTGCTGTGATGGCAAACTGTGGTATTTCACCCAATAGATATGGGAGTTTTGTTTTTGAATTCTTTATGGGTCTGTGTTATCTGAGAGAAATTGTGTCTCTAATATGGCCATACATTTGGCAGGAGGTTAAGAAGTGCAGCTCAGTGTCCACCTCATTTTGTGGGCAGTGTGCACATAGCCTGTCTTCTCTTGAGAGCCAGGTCTGCTTACGGTGGCCTTTCTCAATAGCAAGGCTATGCTCACTGAGTCTGTACATAGTCAAAGCTTTCCTTAAGTTTGGGTCAGTCACAGTGGTCAGGTATTCTGCCACTGTGTACTCTCTGTTTTGGGCAAAATAGCATTCTAGTTTGATCTGTTTTTTTGTTGATTTTATCCAATGTGTCAAGTAATTAACTTTTAGTTTTCTCATGATTTGGTTGGGTCTAATTGTGTTGCTGTCCTGGGGCTCTGTGGGGTCTGTTTGTGTTTGTGAACAGAGCCCCAGGACTTGCTTGCTTAGGGGACTTTTCTCCAGGTTCATCTCTCTGTAGGTGATGGCTTTGGAAGGTTTGGGAATAGCTTCCTTTTAGGTGGTTGTAGAATTTAACAGCTCTTTTCTGGATTTTGATAATTAGCGGGTATCTGCCTAATTCTGCTCTGCATACTTTATTTGGTGTTTTACATTGGACACACAGGATATTTTTGCAGAATTCTGCATCTCTCTCTCTCTCTCTCTCTCTCTCTCTCTCTCTCTCTCTCTCTCTCTCTCTCTCTCTCTCTCTCTCTCTCTCTCTCTCTCTCTCTCTCTCTTAATTGCTGTCTCTCTCCCTAGAGTGGTGTGTGCAAACAGGCCTCTATTTGAATCTCTTCCTCTCTCTCTCTCTCTTACTTTTGGAGAACCTTGGTGGGTTGTCGTTGACGTCGCTGAGGGTGATGTTGATGGTGGTGGTCCCGGCCAGACCTCCCAGCTGACCTCCCATATCCTTGGCCTGTATAAGCACCTGGTACTGCTCCTTCACCTCGCGGTCCATGTTCGGCAAGGCCGTCCTTATTATACCTAACGACAACATGGTATCATTAGAACATATCAAAATGGCCGATATCTAGGCACTTTACTTTTATGTCACATAAGCTGTGCAGTCCAAATAGGGGATAGGTGGAAACATGATAATACAGAAGGGACAAGGTGAGTGTTAACGTGTATTCTGAAGGATTGCGCAATGCTTGATGCCCCCTTTTTTCTGCTAGAGGGTTCAAAAGTACAAATGACCTGGGTAGTAGCACCCCCCTTATAAAGAGCCTACACTTAGAGGTGCATTAATGTACCTGAAGTCAAAGTGTGAATTAAGGGGTTGCCAGGGGGGCTCAGCTCCCTTGAGTGAGTGGTTAGCTCCCCTAAATGCACCAAAAGTCAAACTTTAAATAATGGGGACTCTAAATAATGTTAAGTTAACCATTCTCTGTTTGCTTAGAATGTAGTGGTAAAATATGAAAATTAAAGCTTCCAAATGAAAAACACCCCCACCTCTCTGTCATGGTTAAACTATTTATTTCTATGTGGTGGCGCTATCAACACAGAAGTGCTGAATTTCGCTATCAGCTGAGCTCCTTTATGCATAGACTTTTCTTTGTACTTCCTAATTTTCACAATTTGTTTGCCATGCATCCTTAATAAAAAATAGCTTCTGCCTTTATTGCAATGCATTGGATGTATCTGTTGATTTATCATTGTTTGCTTTTGTCAGTCAGCTGTTTGGAGCGCTCATTGCTTTGTTTTTCAGGTGCGCATGGGTACTGGTGTTCTCCATGCCATCCGTGGCCAGAAGTAGTTTATTTTTTTAGAAAAATGCATTGAAAGTATAGGGAGCATCATTTATTTTCACTGCAACCGGCAATCAGAGTTTACCCATCTATTTTTTGTACCACTACATCACTGGCTACCGGTAGGCCTGTTTGAAGTTCATGGTAATACACATTGTAGCCTAGGCTATTAAGTTGACCATGTGTGTTAGGGTGACCATCCTGTTTTTCCCGGGACAGTTTCAGCCCCATTCCACGTGTCCCGAATTTCCAGGCCACAAAAAATGTCAATTTGTCAGCAAGACGCATCAATTAATGTAGGCCTAATCAATGGCAATCGCTGAATGTCATTAGTCACACTTTTTGGTGTTTTGTAACAGATGTCTGTTTCCATTCATCAAATGGCGCGAGTATACATGTAGTTTGGGTGCTGGAATTATTTTGGAGTGGACGAACATGCACAGGTAGCCTACTTTGTGAAGTGATTTGTTTGACAATCAGATGAAAATATAATGACTGGTTGTGTTCATGACACATTAAAAGGTAATTCATTTTTACCGCTTAAATGACGTAAGCGCATTAATTCAATAGAGACCAACCCCCCCCCCCCCAAATGTCATGGTGTCATTCGCACTCTGCCTGAAGTCAAGGCTGAGATAGATAGAAATAGCGGTTTTCAGGAAGTGGAGACACTTCAATACTGAACTTGGTGAGGCTTTTTAATGATTCGCCAGATGATCTGAGATCAGAGCAAATATACAGCCGAGTAATGGCCAGGTCAGCATGATAGAAGAGATGGAAAGGGGGCAAGATGTACGTTTTCTTTCCTCTTATTCCCCCATCCGTCATATGAAAAGAACAGACGTCACATTTGATCCTAAAATCCTGTGTTCTGCGTGTGCAACAATCAAAGGATGTTGTTTTTTGACATTCTTCTCATCTTTTTGGGATACAGGCAGGGAGGGAAGACGCTGTGAAGTGTATGGTGATTTAGGCATGTGATTCCTTCCCCCTCTTTTCTTTTCCCTCTTTCCTTCTTGTTTGTTCGGCTGCGTTGATGTATGTTTGGCTGTAGAGGCAGGCTCAGCATGGCAAACATTTGTTTTAACAGTTGGATTTTTTCGCCATCAGTTTGGAAATACAGTCACAGTGTGTGTTCTGTATACTCTCCAGGGTGGAAAGGCATGATCTGTGATATATTCTCCCCATTCCTTTTCTCCCTGTGACATCACATTGGAAATGGTTATCGTGATCCATTTCCTTTCCCCCCCCCCCCCCTCTTTTTTATTTTGCAAATTTCGAAATGTGTTATCATTGTGGACAAGGTTCTAACCTTTTCTATGGGAATCTCTGTTTGAGCATTACAAGATCATCTGCTGGACGTTGTATCAGTGTAAAAAATACCATCTATTGCATTTGAACCATGGTAGAGTATCTGTTTCGTTCCACGTGCAGAATACAGTTACTGGAATGATTTTAGAGGTGTGCTTGCTGAAAGCAAGAACAACTACTGAATTTCAACATACTTGTTATTATTAGATGTGCTTGCTGAAAGCGTTTCAGGGTCTACCGCTCTGGCTCAGCCAAATGCATCATGGGAAGAGGGCCAATGAGAAGTCCCATGGTCCTTTGGAGCAATGGACTCTGGAGGGAACAGCAGTCTTCATGACATGGGTGTCATACAAAGGATATCCTTCAATCTAACAGGGTCAACATTTTGACCTGGAACATTCTTTTATAACCCATTGCGTCATCTGCTCAGAGCTCAGATATAAAAAGCCAAGTGGCATATGAGGAGAAATAAGGAGAATGTCAGTATTTGCTGTTGATCAGGCATTGGAGAGAGCTGGTTGGCGGGGTAGTAAACCATGAACCGTTCAGCCGGCCAGTTCCACACCAAAACGCCTGCATTAACATTCTGAAGTGGCTCATGGGATTGCAGGGTCACTGTCTCTCTCCACACTCCAGCTAACTTCCTCGGCAACCACGGCAATAGACACACACACAAAAACAGACTTTCACACCACAGAACCACTTATCTGATTGAGTAGAGCTGCAGGCCCTAAGGATTTCCAATATCAGGGGATAAGAATATGGCCATATGTCTGTGTTCACTCAGAAGAGACAAACAATGACTATTAATAATCTGTTTCCGTCCTGTTCTGACTGAGGGCCCGAGATGAACCGAGAGGACAGAGGAGGGAGGACAGAAAACAGCTGCGGTCCAGCTGTGTTTGACCTTTGACTCCTATAGTAAAGGCAACCTTTTCACACAAAAAATACCTTTTAATGAACCCGGCTGCTTTGCTTCACTCCAAACCTCGCTGCTATGGAACTCTCACTGTTTATAATGCCCCTCACCAAAACTCACTGACTGGGAAGCAGCTATTTTTCCAGCGAAAAGCCTGAACTCTAAAATCAGGTAATAATGGTATATTTTTCTTGAGAAAAATGAAAAAGTATTTTATTACATAGTTCCTTGTTCCACCAGGAGTGGGATAAAAACATCTCGAATGCACCCCCCCACCCCCCCCCTTATCGGATCCTGATGTTGAACTTGCACACAGTGAAACAACAAGTTCTTCTGAAACAACAAAGAGAGAGAACTTTTGAGAAAGAGAGCACTCCAGAGCAAAGTATTCGAAGAAGCACCAGTGCCATTCTTTAAAAGCCTTGACCCGGCCCCCAGTCATTTCAGCTTATGAAACCAATACGAATGTGGACCACATTTCAGAAACCAGACAACTAACGCACAGGTTAAAAAAGGGGCATAAAGTTGAAGTCGCAACAGGGTTTGAGAGGGACTTGTTCAAAGGGGCACCCTTTCTGACACACTCGTCCTCTCCACTCCTCTTCCTTCCGCTGAGCCTCTGATCAGAAGTGTTGCCCCCTCTCTCAATCGTCACTGGAGCCCTTGGAACTAAAGAGGAAAAAAAGGTTTCCTGCAGGCTGTTGGTCAGGCTGCAAATAGGACAGGCAAGCAAATCAGAGAGGTCAACTTATAACACTGGCTATGTAATAATTTAAGAGAAGGTTTAATGCCCACTTCAGTGTGCTGAAGTGTCTGCCTCCCGCGGGGCAATCCTTTCTGATTCCTTTACCAACAAAATCTGCTATTTTGGAGAAGGGGCGTTAAAGCAGGAGATACAAAAACTTTTTGGACAATAACAGATAGACTCCTGAGGATATTGTTTTTCTCCAGTGAAATACATACATTTTCTTTCAATTGCTTTCAGATTAAAATACATAATACAAATCTAAATTATAACACAGACAATTTGACTTTTGGACACATTAATAGAAGTAGAAACTGTATCGAACAGTAGGCTACAGCAAATACATATGGGTTAGAGTGTTGTAGGGTTCTTGACAGTTAGCTGTCTATTATAAGACTGATGCTCGCAGGGCCCAGCTGGCCCCTGGACACGCATGATGGGCAGGGTCAGAGAGATGCTGATCCCTTGACACTGGCATAGATCCAGACCCACTATCATTACGTTTGCAGTCACTACCACTACCACTACTATTTCACACCATAATTCCTTCAAGACAAGCAAGCACACACATTTTCTTCAGGAAATGTCCTTTTCTAGTTCATTTATATTTTCACAGAGGACAAAGCAGTGAGCACTGCACACATATTGAATTACATTATATGACTATACTAGCAAGCTACAGAATGTTATTAACTGCTGTCAAAGAGTAACCGGCCTAAACCCAATTGCCTAATATTGAGGTGTCTGAAATGTAATTTGTAGACGCTATTATTGATTGTTTTTCCAGCTTTAGCAAAGAAGTAAAGAAAGGATACAAAGTCCACTGTATGTATAGCAATGATAGAGAACTTTCTCTGTTCACAGTAAAGAAATTGAAGTTATAACGTGTCACTGTTTCTAATCCATTGCCCTGGCCAGCTACAATGTAATCAAAACAAGATATTTCGCTCATTTGTTTATTCGATTTGATTTAAGTTGAAGACAACACTTTGTCCATACTAATGTTAAAAAGTTGGAATATCTGCCCACCTATTAGATTATCACAGCTACAAAACTTGGCAGTTAGAAACTCATTCTTCTTTCAACAAGTAAGCTATTTACATTGTTTAACACATCTGAGACAGACAGGTATCCCGCCTTTTTGTTATTTCAAACAATCGCTAAACGAAACAACATTCAACATTGACAAAAAGTACCAAATTAGATAGATTTTTGACTGATGTTGCCCATCTTATTTACCTGTCTTGGGATCCACAGAGAAGTATGGCTGGCCATGGAGGATGCTGTAGACGACTCTGGCACTGTTACCATAGGTAGGGTCATCTGCATCTGTGGCTGTCACCTGCATCACATAAGTCCCTGTGAAACATACACATACATTTGCATCATTCAGATGGAGTCATTTTTTAAAGTAATATTTTCATGCAGTTTAGCGGCTTGTGCCACCATGTACGGCGCTTGTAACGCCAAGGTAGTGGGTTCGATCCCCGGGACCTTCCCATACACAAAAATTTATGCACGCATGACTGTAAGTCGCTTTGGATAAAAGCGTCTGCTAAATGGCATATTATTATTATTATTATGTATGCATCACAAATGGCACTCTATTCCCTAAACAGTGCACTACTTTTAATCAGGGCTCAGGTCAAAAGTAGTGCCCTATGTAGGGAATAGGGAGCCATTTGGGACAGAGCCACAGAGACTAAAGTGTGAAGAGGATATAATAGAAGATAAGTGTGCAGTATTGGAACGTTGAATTATGTGAAATATACATTTGCAGAACTATGCAAGTGGATGTTTAGCCAAAAGACACTCATTCATTAGACATTGCTGCCATTAGTGAAACAAAGAGCCACCCACAGCAGGAATAGGAAACAAGATGGCAGCCATCCAAACTTCCTGCAATACCAGGAAAATAGTAAATACTGGTTATATAAGTATGGGCTCACCCCCTTTAATAACTGTAGCTTGAATCTAAAACACCATTGCATTAATCCACTGACTCTACAGAAGCATGTAGATCTACAATCCAATTGGAAATTATTCTATCTATAAACTCAATTAAATCACTTTTGTGGCTAAATGAGGTATGTCTTTTTTTGTCCATATGTACAGGCTGGTACTGTACAGTATGCTTGTCCAAGGGAAGTTACATCCACAAATGGCCATTGACACATGTTAATCTCTTAGTTGGCTATAATAAGCCTTAATTAAACAGGATTTGCGCTGTGAGCAGATGGTAACAATTGTTTGAAAACATTAGGTGAGAGAGATTAGAGTGTTAATCCTTCCTAACAAAGCCCTGCACCACGCATCCAGGTATAATGGAGCTGAGATGCTCTACTTGCTCTATCACTCCTATGCCAATGCTAATGGTCATTCACACTTTTACTACTATAGGTAGTTACTTTGTACTGGTTTATCAGCACGTACTGTATTAACGCTTTTGCTTGTGCTTTTTATTGATACAATCCTTTTATAAACAGCTCCAGTTCCATAAAGCTTTTAAATACAAGTGCTTGGTTTAAAATGGGTTAATACAATATAAATAAACTATGCACCACTTTTAACTTGGCAAATTCCAGTTCCTTGAAGTTCTTTGAAAAGAAAAATACAGTACTCATCATAATTGGTCTTTTGAATCCACACCCATTTCCCCAAGGAAGGCTTATCAGTTCCATTAATTATATTAATGTAATTAGCAGTGATTCCTATTTTTCTCAGGCACACACTCCATCAATGCCCTATTGAACCATTTATCAAACACACACACACTGCAGAATCATCTGAAAAGAATCATCATTCCTAAAGCATATAGCCCTCCTGCTCAATCACTCGTTTAAAGGAAACAGTAGGTCCTATATTCCTGCCCCTGATTTGGAACACACACCCACCCACCCACCCACCCAGCCTCAGGCCCACGTACTCACTCACTCACACTCACACAAACACTGACACACACCGACACACACCCACACACACACACACACACACACACACACACACACACACACACACACACACACACACACACACACACACACACACACACACACACACACACACACACACACACACAGAGAGAGAGAGAGAGAGAGAGACTACCTTCTAGACTGCCTTCCAGCTCTGTTTACCTAGAGGGAGTAGAAGACTGGCCATGTTTTAGATCAGCTTGAAAGGGACCATGGTGATTTAAAAGTAAATAGTAAAGCTTAGTAAAACTAAATGCATGCTCTTCAATCGAACGCTGCTGGCACCCGCCCACCCGACTAGAATCACCACTCTCGACGGGTCTGACCTAGAGTATGTGGACAACTACAAATACCTAGGTGTCTGGTTAGACTGTAAACTCTCCTTCCAGACTCACATTAAGAATCTCCAATCCAAAGTTAAATCTAGAATCGGCTTCCTATTTCGCAACAAAGCCTCCTTCACTCATGCTGCCAAACATGCCCTCGTAAAACTGATAATCCTACCGATCTTTGACTTCGGCGATGTCATTTACAAAATAGCCTCCAACACTCTACTCAGCAAATTGGATGTAGTCTATCACAGTGCCATCCGTTTTGTCTCCAAAGCCCCATACACTACCCACCATTGTGACCTGTATGCTCTTGTTGGCTGGTCCTCACTACATGTTCGTCTTCAAACCCACTGGCTCCAGGCCATCTATAAATCACTGCTAGGCAAATCCCCGCCTTATCTTAGCTCATTGGTCACCATAGCAGCACCCACCCATAGTCTGCGCTCCAGCAGGTATATCTCACTGGTCATTCCCAAAGCCAACACCTCCTTTGGCCGCCATTCCTTCCAGTTCTCTGCTGCCAATGACTGGAACGAATTGCAAAAATCTCTGAAGCTGGAGACTCTTATCTCCCTCACTAACTTTAAGCATCAGTTGTCAGAGCACCTTACCGATCACTGCACCTGTACACAGCCCATCTGAAATTAGCCCACCCAACTACCTCATCCCTATGTTGTTATTTATTTTGCTCTTTTGCACCCCAGTATCTCTATTTGCACATAATCTCTTGCACATCTAGCATTCCTGTGTTAATACTAATTGTAATTATTTTGCACTATAGCCTATTTATTGCCTTACCTCCATAACTTGCTACATTTGCACACACTGTATATATATTTTCTGTTGTATTTTTTGACTTTATGTTTTCTTACCCCATATGTAACTCTGTGTTGTTGTTTTTATCGCACTGCTTTGCTTTATCTTGGCCAGGTCGCAGTTGTAAATGAGAACTTGTTCTCAACTGGCTTACCTGGTTAAATAAAGGTGAAATAAAAATAAAATAAAAAATAAAAAAGCTACAGCCCAGTTTGTGTGTGGAGTGACTGTACCCTGCTCCATTCAGCATTTGGAGAGATATAACTTGCTGTTCTCTTCGCCAGGGCTCCATTGATATTCAGATCAAGAGGAGCCAATCTCAGAGTGAATTACCTTGATCTCCCTTCCCTGGGGTAGAGAGCATAAAGACAAGCCTCGATCCGCAATGTACTCAGGCACTAACTGGCTCGCTTGCTGAAATGTCAAAATCTGTTGGATCTGTTTTCCTCCCTCTTGTTCTACCTGTGGCTATACCACTCCCTTTCTTATGATACCTTTTTGTACTCTGTCTCGATCTAAAACTCAATGTGATAGTTTTTTAAATTCTAAGTAATGCATCTATTTTGTTATGTCAAGTTTAGCAGGTAATTGAAGCATTTTGTGATATTTTGTTTACATTCTAATTTGCACCCTATTCCCTACATAGTGCTCTACTTTTCACCAGGGCCCGATAGGTCTCTGGTCAGAAGTAGTGCACGATATAGGGAATAGGGTGCCATTTGGGACCGACACACAGTCTTTTGTGATATTTCTTCTTACCTACAGGTGACATCTCAGGGACACTGGCTGTGTATGGCCCTTCTAGAAACTTTGGCTCATTGTCGTTGATGTCCTGGACCTTGATTACAAACTCTGATTCGGGCTCCAGGGGCCTGTTGGTGTCGATATCGACAGCCTGTGCACGGAGGGTGTAGTAAGGCTTCACCTCCCTGTCAAGGCTTCTTAAGGCATGGATGTCCCCGGTAGTTGCGTCGATGGTGAAAATGGAGCCGGCCCCTTCTCCCATGAGAGTGTACTTCACCTCGCTCTCACCCTTATCCAGATCAGTGTGCAGCTACAAGACAAGAGGGAAAGGACAGGTTCAGTCCAAACAATGATTCCGCTAATGATTCAATGAGACCACTGGGGGAGAACAGTTTCAAGTAAAGGCAGTTCATGAAGCGAGTCAATGGAACTGACTGCACTCACAAAATACAAAGAAAACCCCCCACATAGTAGGATATGTGCTGCTAAAACCACACACAGTATATACAAAGTAGTGCATTTTCTGCCCCAGCTCTGTAGAAAGAGCTAGGGATTTGGGATGTGCATATCACCTACATGACTGCACTCCCAACAATAGGTACATCCAGCACATAGGTACATTTACCTCCAGATATGTCTGCTCACAGATGGTTGTATGCTCACATAAGTGTAATAATGCTCTCAATGCACTGTTTTAGCATGTGCATGTTTTGCTTAAAGGGATAGCATGTTAGCATATACCCATAGACTTCCAGTCATTGTGCTAACGCTGGTTAGCAGTGGTTCGCAAAACTACAGTACCTCTAACTTCCTTCATACTGGACCCAGAGACATAAAAATGGTATCCACTAGTTTATCTGACAATGGGGAAGTAGATAAATGACCTCATTGTGAAAAAAAAAATCTTAAGTATCCCTTTAAGTAAAAAGAAACTGCAAATCTGCAAAATCTGACTTAGTCTGACAGGTCAGCTTGGGGGCATATGAACTGGCTTGACCCAGTTCTTTCTCCACGTCACAGTGCAGCTTCTCTGTGTACAATCGCTATGTATCCATCCCAAATGGCACTCTATTCCCTACATAAAGGGAATAGGGTACCATTTGGGATGCAAACTAGCACCACATAAGAAGGCTTTTCTTTGGCCGCAGGCGATACACCTGTTGGCAGGACATCAAACCAACATTGTTAACGCAGAAATGATGGCCAACGTGACACAACATGGACCATATGTTTCCATGCAAGCAGAGACTTGCATGTTGCCCAATACACATACAGTTGAAGTCGGACGTTTACATACACCTTAGCTAAATACATTTAAACTCAGTGTTTCACAATTCCTGACATTTCATCCTAGTAGAAATTCCCTGTTTTAGGTAAGTTATGATCACCACTTTATTTTAAGAATGTGAAATGCCAGAATAATAGTAGAGAGAATTATTTATTTCAGCTTTTATTTATTTCATCATTCCCAGTTGTTCAGAAGTTTACATACACTCAATTAGTATTTGGTAGCATTGCCTTTAAAATGTTTAACTTGGGTCAAACATTTCGGGTAGCCTTCCACAACCTTCCCACAATAAGTTGGGTGAATTTTGGCCCATTCCTCCTGACAGAGATGGTGTAACTGAGTCAGGTTTGTAGGCCTCCTTGCTCGCACACTCTTTTTCAGTTCTGCCCACAAATGTTCTATAGGATTGAGGTCAGGGCTTTTTGATGGCCACTCCAATACCTTGACTTTGTTGTCCTTAAGCCATTTTGCCACAACTTTGGAAGTATGCTTGGGGTCATTGTCCATTTGGAATACACATTTGCGACCAAGCTTTAACTTCCTGACTGATGTCTTGAGATGTTGCTTCAATATATCAACATAATTTTCCTTCCTCATGATGCCATCTATTTTGTTAAGTGCACAAGTCCCTCCTGCAGCAAAGCACCCATACGGCTAGCAAGAACCCCCTTTTTCCTCCAAACATAACGATGGTCATTATGGCCAAACAGTTCAATTTTTGTTTCATCAGACCAGAGGACATTTCTCCAACAAGTACGATCTTTGTCCCCATGTGCAGTTCCAAACTGTAGTCTGGTTTTTTTATGGTGGTTTTGGAGCAGTGGCTTCTTCCTTGCTGAGCGGCCTTTCAGGTTATGTCGATATAGGACTGGTTTTACTGTGGATATAGATACTTTTGTACCTGTTTCCTCCAGCATCTTCACAAGTTCCTTTGCTGTGGTTCTGGGATTGATTTGCACTTTTAGCACCAGTACATTCATCTCTAGGAGACAGAACGCGTCTCCTTCCTGAGCGGTATGACAGCTGTGTGGTCCCATGGTGTTTATACTTGCATACTATTGTTTGTACAGATGAACGTGGTTCCTTCAGGCGTTTGGAAATTGCTCCCAATGATGAACCAGACTTGTGGAGGTCTTCAATTTCTTTTCTGAGGTCTTGGCTGATTTCTTTAGATTTTCCCATGATGTCAAGCAAAGAGGCACTGAGTTTGAAGGTAGGCCTTGAAATACATCCACAGGTACACCTCCAATTGACTCAAATGATGTCAATTAGCCTATCAGACGCTTCTAAAGCCATGACATCATTTTCTGGAATTTTCAAAGCTGTTTAAAGGCACAGTCAACTTCTGACCCACTGGAATTGTGATACAGTGAATTATAAGTGAAATAATCTGTCTGTAAACAATTGTTGGAAAAATTACTTGTGTTATGCACAAAGTAGATGTCCTAACTGACTTGCCAAAACGATAGTTTTTTAACAAAACATTTGTGGAGTGGTTGAAAAACGAGTTTTAATGACTCCAAACAAGTGTATGTAAACTTCCGACTAGTGTAAGGAAGAAGCCACTGCTCCAAAACCGCCACAAAAAGCCAGACTACGGTTTGCAACTGCACATGGGGACAAATATTATACTTTTTGGAGAAAAGTATGGTCTGATGAAACAAAAATAGAACTGTTTGGCCATAATGACCATCGTTATGTTTGGAGGAAAAAGGGGGTCCCTTGCAAGCCGAAGACACCATCCCAACCATGAAGCACATGGGTGGCAGCATCATGCTGTGGGGGTGCTTTGCTGCAGGAGAGACTGGTGTACTTCACAAAATAGATGGCATCATGAGGAAGGAAAATTATGTGGATATATTGAAAAACATCTCAAGACATCAGTCAGGAAGTTAAAGCTTGGTCGCAAATGGGTCTTCCAAATGGACAATGACCCCAAGCATACTTCCAAAGTTGTGGCAAAATGGCTTAAGGACAACAAAGTCAAGGTATTGGAGTGGCCATCACAAAGCCCTGACCTCAATCCTATAGAAAATGTGTGGGCAGAACTGAAAAAGAGTGTGCGAGCAAGTAGGCCTACAAACCTGACTCAGTTACACCAGCTCTGTCACGAGGAATGGGCCAAAATTCACCCAATTTATTGTGGGAAGCTTGTGGAAGGCTACCCGAAACGTTTGACCCAAGTTAAACAATTTAAAGGCAATGCTACCAAATACTAATTGAGTGTATGTAAACTTCTGAACCACTGGGAATGTAATGAAATAAATAAAAAGCTGAAATATATCATGCTCTCTACTATTATTCTGACATTTCACATTCTTAAAATAAAGTGGTGATCGTAACTGACCTAAAACAGGGAAATTTTACTAGGATTAAATGTCAGGAATTGTGAAAAACTGAGTTTAAATGTATTTGGCTAAGGTGTATGTAAACTTCCGACTTCAACTGTCTATACAGTGCATTCGGAAAGTACTCAAACCCCTTGACTTTTTCCACATTTTGTTACATTATAGCCTTACTCTAATATGGATTAAATAGTTTTTTTTCCCCTCATCAATCTACACACAATACCCCATAATGAAAAAGTAAAAACAGGTTTTTAGAAATGTTTGCAAATGTATTAAAAATAAAAAAACAGAAATATGACATTTACATAAGAAATTCAGACCCTTTACTCAGTACTTTGTTGAAGCACCTTTGGCAGCGATTACAGCCTCCAGTCTTCTTGGGTTTGATGCTATACAAGCTAGGCACAACTTAATTTGGGGAGTTTCTCCCATTCTTCTCTGCAGATCCTCTCAAGCTCTGTCAGGTTGGATTGGGAGTGTCGCTGCACAGCTATTTTCAGGTCTCTCCAGAGATGTTTGATCGGGTTCTGGCTAGGCCACTCAAGGACATTGAGAGACTTGTCCCGAAGCCACTCCTGCGTTGTCTTTGCTGTTTGCTTAGGGTTGTTGTCCTGTTGGAACGTGAACCTTTGCCACAGTTAGAGGTCCTGAACAAGTTTTCATCAAGGATCTCTATGTACTTTGCTCCGTTCATCTTTCCCTCTATCCTGACTAGACTCCCAGTCCCTGCCGCTGAAAAACCTCCCCACAGCATGATGCTGCCACCACCACAATGCTTCACCGTAGGGATGGTACCAGTATTCCTTCAGACGTGATGCTTGGCATTCAGGCCAAAGAGTTCAAATCTTGGTTTCATCAGACCAGAGAATCTTGTTTCTCATGGTCTGAGAGTCCTTTAGGTGCATGTTGGCAAACTCCAAGCGTGCTGTCATGTGCCTTTTACGGAGGAGTGGCATCCATCTGGCCACTCTACCATAAAGGCCTGATTGGTGGAGTGCTGCAGAGATGGTTGTCCTTCTGGAAGGTTTTCCCATCTCCACAGAGGAACTATTGAGCTCTTTCAGAGTGACCATCGCGTTCTTGGTCACCTCCCTGACCAAGGCCCTTCTCCCTCGATTGCTCAGTTTGGCCGGGTGGCCAGCTCTAGGAAGAGTTTTGGTGGTTCCAAACTTCTTCCATTTAAGAATGATGGAGGCCACTGTGTTCTTGGGGACCTTCAGTGCTGCAGAAATGTTTTGGTACCCTTCCCCAGAGCTGTGCCTCGACACAATTATGTCTTGGAGCTCTCTGGACAATTCCTTCGACCTCATGGCTTGGTTTTTGCTCTGACGTGCACTGTCAACTGTGGGACCTTATATAGGAAGGTGTGTGCCTTTCCAAATCATGTCCAATCAATAGAATTTACCACAGGTGGACTCCAATCATCTCAAGGATGATCAATGGAAACAGGATGCACCTGAGCTCAATTTCGAGTCTCATAGCAAAGGGTCTGAATACTTACGTAAATAAGGTATTTCTGTTTTGTATTTTTAATAAATTTGCAAAAATGTCTAAAAACCTGTTTTCGCTGTGTCATTATTGGGTATTGTGTGTAGATTGATGAGCTGAAAACATAATGTAATCCATTTTAGAATAAGGCTGTAACATAACAAAATGTGGAAAAAGTCAAGGGGT